AGATAGATAATACAGGGGTAAGGAACTTGTTTTGCACAGTGCCCACCCAGGTTTAATCCTCAGACAGTCTCTACAGTCCTGAGTCCACCAGGAGAGATCTCTATGTCAGGAGTAAGCCCTGAGCACTGTTGGGGTGCAATCCCTCTCCCCCCACCAAGAAAAAGGCAAACGTTATTGTCCAAGGGTCCTTATTTTTACAATATGTTGTCTCTTATAAATATGACAAAGTTGAAAAGTGCCCTCCACACAGTTTTCCCAGTTCCTAAATTGGTTTATTTAAAAGGTTTCATGGATTTTAAAAATGCCTGAAATTGAACCATTTTATGTTTTGAGGCTAAAACCTCCTTTATTCTGAATTTGCACATTGTCAGTATCTAAAGCAGGCAAGAAGTTAAATCCTTGGGTTCAAAGCATTATTAGTTCTCATGCAAGAAACAGATTACTCTGGTTTATAGTCTCCCTAAGCAATACCAAGGCATCATCCGGAAACCTGAAAAAATTAACATTCTTCTTAAAAAAAAAAAAGGAAAAAATAGAACTTTAGGGCTGAGACCCAAACCAGTGCGCTTCACAGAGGTCTGGGGCGGAGAGAAAGCCGAACCCGCTGAGCGCAAACGCCCTGCAGTCCCCGCGACTCTGCCCGTGTGAACCCAAACCCAAAAGGGCAGAAGAACATTTCATTAAACGGTCTTCAGATAACCCTGACTCCGGCGCAGTTTGGAGCAGCTCTCCAGCTGTGTTTCGTTTTGTCTCGGAACTTCATCAACCTCGTCTCTGTGCATCCCGCCGGCGGGTCCCTCGCGGCGGGCGTCGCTCCGGCGCCGCTGGTCGAGCCCGGCTCTGCCCTGGCGCATCGGGGTGCCCACCCCGCGGAGTGCTGCTCAGAGCTGGACGCGGGGCACGCTAAAGAGGAGCTGCAGGCGGTGGCCAAAGGCAAAAGCGGTTTGCTGGATCGATGCAGTGCCAGGATATACTGCAGCGCGCGCGTGCGTGCGTGCGTGTGTGTGTGCGTGCGTGCGTGCGTGCGTGCGTGCGTGTGTGTGTGTGTGTGTGTACAGATGTTTTAAAATTACGTATCTAACTATATATTTTTCATTGTATTTGAGGCACCGCTGTTTAGGACCCTGTTAGCGACAGGTCACCTGCAGACAGCGTTCGCCCAGGGGCCTGTTGTCCCCCCCACTCCCAGCCGCTCCCTCCCCATCCCCTGGGAAGCCCCGTTCTGTAGAGAAGTGACTCTGCTAAGGACAGAGCACTGTACTGGGCTGGTGGCTGTTTGGGACCCCGCCGAGCGAGGGCCGGTTGGGGTATTCCCCGTCCCTGATGGGCGCCTCCGGGGACCTGGGGGCCGCGTCGCTCGATCCTTGTGCGGCCACTGTTGGGGACCTTTCCAGTCCCGAGTCGAGGGCTTCGCTGCGTCGCAAGACCCCCCGATTCCGAGGACAACCGCTCTGCACCCCCGAGCACCCGGACCCCTGGCACCCCGGACCCCGAGCACCCCGTCCACACTGGGCGCTCCGGGGCGCGCCGCCAGGAGAAGTCGTGCTTTCGGGGTCCTGCGAGCGAGCGTTTCGGGGTGTGGTAGGATCCGGCGGGAGCTAGGATTCGCGCAGCGGCCGAGCGCCCACCTGGATTCTCAGCACCCCCAGAGCGCCCTAGAGCCTCGCTTGGATACACCCACTTTCTGTCTTAGATTTAGGGTGCCAGAGCCGACCAGGGTCCGAGTCTCGGAACACAGGGATCTGAGCACTAATACTCGAAGTGTTAAGGGCAAGGGTGCAGGGCTGCGCCCCCCCCCTCCACCAGCACAGTTTGCAAACCCCCTGCCCAATATTTTTTCACTTTTTAGGAAATAAAAATATATGCTGAGAGATAGTTCCGCGAGTAGGGCACTTGCTTTATGTACCGCCGAGCTGGGTTTGATCCCCCATGTCCCTGGTGAAGCATCGCCAGCTGCGATTTCTGAATGCAGAGACATGAGTGACCCCTGAGCATCTCCCGCGGTTCCTCCAGCCCTAAAAAAAAAGGGGGGGTAGCAAACTGAATTGCCTATACACAGCCTCAGACTCCTGAGGTGGTGAGGTGGTAGGATTTGTTTCACTGGAAGAACAAATATTTTTTTACAAAGGAATCCGGCAAACTGAGCTGTTGGTTTCAGAGCAGGGGGAGGGGGGAGGGGAATTCCCCACACAGGATGGGAGGCCAGTGATGGGGTGCCCTCCCTCTAGCGTTCCCCAAACCCCTCACAACCTGCAAAGGGTTAAAGGCCATCTCTGAGTTCTCCGAGGCCCAGCTTATTTTTTCATCACAAACAGAAGAGATTCTATTAAGACCAAAAATGCCTTTGTTTCAAAGTTTTTTACTCCTGCTATTGCGACCAGCCGTGAGTGGCATCTTTTGAGACTCAAGAGCTTGTTTTGGGGGTTGGAGAGATAGTACAGGGGATAAGGAGCTTGCCTTGATTAAGACTGCCATGGGTTGATCTCCCTCAGCCCGCGCGGGCCTCCCCCTCACCAACCAGCACATATAGTTGCTCCTGCCTCTGGCCCTCCCAGGAATGATCCTCGAGTGCAGAGTCAGGAATAGGTCCTGGGCACAGTTTGAAAAACATGAAAAGCCACACTTGCACATATAGACCCACACATACAGGATTGGACTGACTGGCTGCACAAACACCAAAGAATTCAATGCATCTTCTTGGAGGGGAGAGGAGTCTTCCTCTAAGCGTTGTTGCCACAACCAGATATAGCCATGGGGGTGGGGAAAGGGGATGGATCTCCATTCTGATTGCTCCACACACAAACTTACAATGACTCATTGATTCCAGTGAAACCTCAAACTTCAAAATTTTTTGTTTCATTTAGTTTGTGGTGCTGGAGTTGAACCCACAGCCTCAAACCTAAGAGCCAATGTACATTATCAGTGTAAATTTTCTAAAAGAAAATTTGAGAGATAGTAGAAAATATGGTTCAGCAGTAAAGGGCCTGCTTTGCATTCAGAGACCTGACTTCCATCCCAGCACACACACAATCAATACCTAAGAAAAAAACCTTTATGTCTTTGAATTAGTTTTTTTGGACACCAAATGTATTTTTAAGACACCAAAACATAAACCATAAAAGATAAATAAAGTGAACTTTACTTAAATTAAAAGTCTGTTCTTTGTAAGATTGATGAAAAATGAAAGAGCAAGTCTCAGACTGGGAGAAAAATCTTAGAAAATTGCACATCGGAGAAAACACTTGCATCTAGACTATGCAAAAAAAAAACCCTCTTAAGACTTGGGCAGGAGGGCCTGGAATGATAGCACAGCGGGGAGGGCGTTTGCTTTGCATGTGGTCAACCCCAGTTCGATTCCCAGCATCCCATATTGTCCCCAGAGTACCACCAGGAGTAATTCCTGAGTGCAGAGCCAGGAGTAACCCCTGTGCATTGCCAGGTGTGACCCAAAAAGCTAAAAAAAAAGAAAGAAGAAAAACTTGGGCAGGAGAGATAGAAAAGCAGCTAGGGCGCTCTCTTCATAAGTGGCTGATCCAGTTTCTATTCATATGGTCCCTAGAACATGCCAGGAATGATCCCTGAGTTGAGAGCCAGGAGTAATCTGAGAACAGCTCCCAGAAAAAATCAGAAAAAAAAAAAGTCATACAGCTTTTATGCATGAAGAACTAAAGGAGGGAAAGAGGAAGAGAGGTAGAAGAGGAGAAAGGGAGCGTGGGAGGGAAGAAGGAATATGTCTACCAATATGTGTCAAAACATTCGACAACTTTACCTCTTCTCTTTTCCCCCTGAAATCTTAAAAGGGCCCTCTGAGGCAAGGAAAAATGAAAACAGACAGAACTGAGGTTTGTAGCATGTTAACTTCTCTCTGGGATAAGCTCTTCTCTTACATTCTCTTGACTCTGAGACAAGAAATAACTACTTGAAGGTGGGGAGGATGGCCACATCCGGCAATGCTCAGAGGTTACTTCTGACTCTACACTCAGGAATTACTTCTGGTGGTGCTCTGGGGACCATAAGGGATGCTGGAGATCCAATCTGGGTTGGCCAAGACAAGACAAGCATCCTACCCACTGTGCCTTGGCCCATGCTCATGCCAACACGAGCCTCATAACCCCTCTTTTCTATACAGCTATTCCTGTTCTTATTCAGATGATGGGCCAGGATAAATAGTCATACGAATTCTTTTTGTACCATTTTGCAGCCTCTAAATGCGTGAGGATTATGTGACTGATAGATGCCTAAGATGAGGTCAAAACGCTAAAACAAGTGGAGAAAAAACTAAATATAAAAATACATAGATACCCACAGCTATACATACTGCGATTAAAACAATACGATCTATACAATGACACACACAAATTAATAGGGGCTACCACAGGACAATGGCGTTAAGGACAGATAGGATGGTGTTTCATATTTTGCTGTTGGCATGACCATTTTCAAAACTTGAAGGGTGGCACGAGCATTTATCACTACTTCAAGTGTTTTGTTTGATCTGCGTTTTTGAATTCGAACCAACGAAGTTCTACCCAACCCCCAACCCCCCCCCCCTCCCCCCCGCGATTCTCAGGTAAAAACACTCAATGAGCCGGAAATCAGGCGTTGGTCCTTAGTGGAGGTCGGCGCCCATGGAGAACGAGATGAGTACCCCTAGAGAGGCCGGAAGTGCCTCTGCTCGCCAGGCGGCGCGGGGGCGGGACTTCCGCGAGTCGTTATTCCCGCTGGAGCTGTCAGCCCGCTCGGGTCCCTTGGCGCCCTCTCGCTCCTCTCCTTTCCACGCCCCGTGAGTCGGCCCCGGAGCCGGGCTCGGGTGGGTGCGACTGGGGAAGGGGTGCGGGAGGAGGGGAGACGGAGCGGGGGCAGGGGCGGTGGGCTGTGCCCGGCGCCGAGGCCCTCCTGGCGGGTCGATTGCGGCACTGAAGCGTCACTGTGTTGCCTGACGACCTCGGAACTGTGTGGCTCGGGCTGTTGGCCGGGGGTCTCCGGGGGAACAGACTTGGGGGTGGCGGTTCCCGGCGCATTTGAGAATCTCCGCCGCTCGGCAGAACCTGGAGATCCCTTTTATCGGGAGCTTCTCGAGGCGGACCGAGAGGCAACGAATAGACCTAGTTGGCCCGTGTAGAACGTGAGTTTCCGATTCCTTTTCTCTTCACTCCTCGGTCCTCAGACCAGACCCCCGACCTGCGAGCCTGTTAGAGATGCATATTGGGCAGGGGGTGCAGGGAGTCCCTGTTCACCCCAGTTCTCGGACTCCAGTTCCCTGGCCGCCTGCCACAGGACCTGGAAAACAGGATCCAGCTGCCTTTGACGTTTCGGAGACACAGTTCCCGCGTCCTGCGTGGGTCAACCCGAAATCATCTTCCTGGGACCTCAGTGGGTCCTTAGCGCTGCCCTCACAAAGAATCCGATCTCGGCCAACCTACTTAACTGTATTCCCTGGCCGCAGAGTGATGGGTAGTCAAATGTCAGAGAGGAACCGTTAGGTTTAAATATATAGTCTTGTCTGTAAACGGTGACTGTATTCTACCTACGTTACCTAAGCTAAGCTATAATAATCAAGAAATAAATAATGCGATAATAAGATAAGTGCTAGCCTTGTGTCTGAAAGTGTGTATATGTGAAAATGTTGATGGTTCCATTTTGGGGGAGCTGCGAAACTTTGTAGAAAATCTTCAGGACTACTTGGAATCAGTCTTAAGTAATTCCTCTCCTGTAAATTGAGTGAAAGTGTTACCAAATCTTAAGTGGTTGTTGTCAAGACTTATTTTATAAACTCAGGTGAAGAATTCAATAAATGTTACTATCTTTAGTCAAGGATGGAAGCAAGGTGTTCCTTCTTTCTCTAGACTGCTTTTTAGATATTGTCTAATTTTTAGATATTGTCTTAATTTCCTTGTGAGCTGTGTGGCCTCTCATACCTCCATGAACTCTGAACGGTATTATTGCTATTTCTTTTTCATCTCTGTTAGGAAACAGAGATTGAGGGCTAGGGAGATAGCTCAAAGGACTGGAATGTACCCCATCTCAAAAAAAGAAAGTCGGGGCCAAAGCCATTGTTCAGTGGGTAGGGCTTTTTCTGTGCACTTGACAGAGCTGGGTTCAATCCTGGGTGGTCCCCCAAGAACCACCAAGAGTAATTCCTGTGTGCAGAGCCAGGAGTACCTCCTGAAACATTGCTGGGTGTGGCTCAATAGCCAATAAGTAAGTAAATAAATTCAAATTGAAAGAAGAAAAGTTGGTGCAAAGTCTTATAATCAGTACGTAGTAGAACCAGAATAAATACCAGGTTTAGGGACTTGAAAGTTTGTGCTTTCTGCATGGGAATTCCTATTTTCATTACTTCCATTCTTGAATCACTAAGTCACTCTCCTTTGAATGTAGAGCTGTAGTTGCTTCTATTATCAGTTCAGCTATAGTCATTTTCCTTTATAAAGAGAGATTTTCTTTCTGCTTAGGAAGGAACTTCTAGTGGTGGCTGGCAGATACCTTTAAAGCTTTCAAAGACAAGATGAATACAGATGCCAAGGGGGTTTTATCCCTAGACTTGCCAGCTCCAAAGGTAAAAGAAGAACTTAGCAAGAAAGTAGAGGTTGCAGGTCACCTCCAAATGCAGGACCCCATACTGAAATGCAGTTACCCACTGGCCAGGGAAATCTTCCGGAGGCGCTTTCGGCAACTGTGCTATCAGGAGACCCCCGGACCAAGGGAAGCACTTGCCCAGCTCCGGGAGCACTGCTACCAGTGGCTGAAGCCACATGTGAGCACAAAGGAACAGATTTTGGATCTGCTGGTGCTGGAGCAATTCCTGTCCATCTTGCCCAAGGAACTGCAGGGCTGGCTGCGGGAACACTGTCCAGAGAGTGGGGAAGAGGCCGTGGTTCTGCTGGAAGACCTGGAAAGAGAACTTGATGAGCCACACCAGGAGGTAGGATGGAAGGTTTGCAAGGGGAAAAGGTGCACAGGTGCCACAAAGGACACCTGTTGCCTTAGCTTTGCTTGATATGTGTCATTAAATATAACCCTTCTGGCTTTATCTGGGAAAATCCATTCATTTCTGGCTCTAGAAAGATAGGACAGAGGGTAAGGTGCTCACCTTGCATGCAGCAGACACTGGCTTGATCCCCAGTACCACATCACTCCTTACCAGGAGTGATTCCTGAGCACTCCATGTGTGGCACTTCTTTTTCCCCCAGAAACGCCATTCATATCTTCAGAAGTCAAGTCTTGTTTCTTTGTCCCCAGATGGTAACCCACAGACATGGACAAGTAATTTTCTGTAAAGATACAGTGGCTGTGGGAGAACAGAAATTCTTAAACCTTCAGTTCCAGCCTAAGGAGCCCCAGCTCTCACATGACCCTGCCTGGGAACCCCATCCCACTCGCAAGACAGGTGAGGGACAGGATTTATGTGGTGTTAAACATATCCTACCTTTCCCCCCACAAAAAAAATCAGAAACTCAAAAGTATAAAATGGATGAGAATACAACTAAGAGAAGCAATGCTTAGAGCTGCCCCTGAAAATGCTTCTGGAGATTCTGTGGTCCTGGCACTTGAGGTTTTTTAGGGACACTTTCAGGAATTGCTGTGGAGAACTTTTTTTTTTTAATTTTTTTTTTTATTAGTGACCACCATGAGGTACAGTTGTAGATTTACAAATCTTTGTGCTTGGGTTTCAGTCATGTGGAGAACTTTTAAAAGGCGGGTTTCAAATTCTGACTCAGTTGTTTGTACCTGGTTGCGTTTCTCTCAGCCTCTTGATCTTGCCTCCCTCACCTGCAACATGGGACCGATAGTATTGTCATAGTTGACTCAGGCTGCCATAACAATACCAGAATGGGTGGTTTAAACAATAGAAGTTAATTTTCTGTTTTGGATCTTAGAAACCCAAAATTGGGGCTGGGGAGATAGCACAGAGATTAAGGTCTCTCCCTTATATGCAGCCAACCCTGGGCACCACCTGTGGTCCTCTGAACATTGTCAGGAGTGATCCCTGAGCACAGAGCCAGGAGTAAGCCCTGAGCATTAGTAAATATGACCACAAAAACCAAATCCAAGATCAGCGTGCAGTGAGAGTTGGGCTTTGGTTGTGTCTCTTCCTGGAGTGGAGATCACTGTTTTTGTCATCTCTCATGAACAGCTTGCTTTTGTGCACCATTCAAGGGAGGGGAAAGTTCTAGTGTCTCCTCCTCTTCAGAGGACTTTAGTGTACCTTTAGTGCCACCTAGAGGCATTATTTTTCAACTACTGGTCCATAGATCCGGTGCCAGTTGATAGAAATAGAAAGGCTGCAGACCACTGATCCACTGCCTTGGCTAGAAGGGTTGGTCAGTGGTGGGAATGCAGGATAGGTGCAAGTCCACGGGTGGAAAAGGTTGAAGAATACCAACTTAGAGGAAGATGTTGCCACACTGGACCATTCTCCTACTCTGATTAAGGTCACATCAGATCAGTAGTGTTGCTGTGTGCTGATGGGATGACCTGATGATTTTGTTTCAGATGGAATGACCAAGACTGAGGACAGAGAATCAGTGCTAAGGAAGGAATGTCCTAAAGGAGTTGAGCCACATGGGAAAACATGGTCTGGACAGAGCTGGGTGCTGCTACACCAGGATCCCCAATGTGGAGAAGCTGGTCATGGGGAGATGCACTGGAAAACCCCCCAAACAACAGAGGGATCCCACAAATGTGAGGAATGCGGAAAGAGCTTTGCTCAGAGCTCAGCTCTCACTCAACATCAAAGAATTCACACTGGAGAAAGACCTTATGAATGTAACGAGTGTGGGAAAACCTTCAGCCGGAGTTCTGGGCTGTTTAATCACCGCGGCATCCACAATATACAGAAACGGTACCATTGTCAAGAGTGTGGGAAGGCCTTTAGCCAGAGTGCGGGGCTGATTCAGCACCAAAGAACACACAAAGGAGAAAAGCCCTATGGGTGCAACCAGTGTGAGAAGAGCTATGGTCGGCGATCATTTCTCATTGAGCACCAGAGAAGCCACACAGGAGAACGGCCTCATCAGTGTCCCGAGTGTGGGAAAAGCTTTAACCGCCACTGCAACCTCATCCGCCACCAGAAGATCCACACAGTGACCAACCTGGTCTGATCCTCACTGTGTGCAAGCCTTCTCGGTCACCTGCTGGAGTGTGTGGGATGTGGGGCCAGAGAGATAGTATAAAGGATATGACGCTTGCATACCATATGGTTCAATCCTAGTTTCAATCACCAGCATCCCATATAGTTCCCTGAGTCTTTGAGGAGTGATCTTTAAGCACAGAGCGAGGAGTTAGCCCTGAGTACTGCTGAGTATTGCCCAAAACAACAGAAACCTAAGATCAGGGTGCCGTGAAAGTTGATTTCTGGTTGTGCATGGATTAATTGAATTAATCCAGTAGCAGAAAATTAGGTATGGTCCCCCACCCAAGGTGGGGGGAAAGCAGAATGAATGGGATCATGTCAGACTAGTTGTTGTCTTTCTGTGTTTGGGAACAAACATCCTAAAGGAAGATTTAGCATTTTTAAGCTGCTACTTTACCTTTGCCTCCTCCACCCCTATTGTGTTATACCATCCTCGTTCTTACTATTTATTCACCCAACTTAGCTGCTATACCTTCAATTGTAATGACAGTTCTGTTGCCAACATGCTTGAAAGATCTGTGTTTGTGTCTTATTTCTGTCTAGCTTTTGTGGATAGATGCTGCAAAACTGTATGCCTGAAAGTCAACTGTGAATAACTTTATAAATCACCGTGCCTAAATAGAAAAATTAATTTTAAAAAGTCATATTACAGGATCCAGGCTATGGACATGTGGGAGACCCTGGTTAGAACTTGATCTCCAGCAACTCGTGGGATCCTGAGCACCACAGTGAGGCCAAACACCCCTCTAAGAATACGGATACACACACCACACACACACACATCTTTACAGGGAGTTTAAAAATAAATAGTAAAAATCAAAGCATTGACTGAAATTGTTTTCTGTAATTATCTCTGAGGTCTGAGATCACAATTCAGTTTATATATATTTTTTTGCTTTTTGGGTCACACCTAGCAATGCACAGGGGTGACTCCTGATTCTGCACTCAGGCATTACTCCTGGCAGTACTCGGGGAACCATATGTGATGCTGGGAATCGAACCCAGGTTGGCTACATACAAGGCAAACACCCTACCCACTGTGCTGTCACTCCACCCCTCAGTTTATACATTTGCTCGAGCAGGCCCAGTAACGTCTCCATTGTGAGACTTGTAGTTACTGTGTTTGGCATATTGAATATGTCACGGGTAGCTTGCCAGGCTTTGCCATGCAGGCGAGATACTCTCGGTAGCTTGCCGGGCTCTCCGAGAGGGGCAGAGGAATCAAATTTGGGTCAGCCATGTTGGCTGCATGCAAGGCAAACGCTCTACCACTGTGCTATCGCTCCAGTTTATACATTTATTATTATTATTGCTTTTTGAATCACACCCAGCGATGCACACGGGTTATTCCTGGCTCTGCACTCAGGAATTACTCCTGGCAGTGCTCGAGGGGCCATATAGGATTCTGAGAATCAAACCTGGGTCAGCCATGGGTAAGGCAAATGCCTATCTGCTGTACTGTAGCTCCAGTCCCAATACATTTATTCTTTTTTTTTTTTTGCTTTTTGGGCCACACCCAGCAATGCATATGGGTTACTCCTGACTCATGCACTCAGGAATTACCCCTGGCGGTGCCTGGGGGACCACATGGGATGCTGGGAATCGAACCCGGGTTGGCTGCGTGCAAGGCAAACGTCCTACCCGCTGTGCTATCACTCCAGCCCTATACATTTATTCTTTATCAAAATCAATACACAAGTTTTCCTATACCAACTTCTTTCCCTCCCTGCTTACCCGACTCTGTCTTTGCCCTAGATGTGGTAACAGAAGACCACAGGAACTTATTCAACTGGAATTTATACCTTATGGTTCCCATTTCTGAAGACTAGAGTATTTGGTTATGATCACAGTACCTGGCAAGGGGGTTCTTTCTGAGACTTGTATGTTCACAGGATTTCTTTGTGGGGGAAGAGCAAATTCTTATTATGTGTGTGGTTGTGTATGTGGGGGGGGGTGCACAGGAGCAAAACCAGTGGTACTCAGAACTTACTCCTGGCTCTGGCTTAGGTATCACTCCTGGTGGTATTGGGGGGACCATATGGGGTGCCTGGAATCAAACCCTGGTGTGTGGAGTGCAAAGCGAACCCCTCCCCCCCTTACTATCTTTCTAGCCCCAGAGAAAGCAAACTCTTTCGAATCTTTGTTTTGTTTTGGGGCAAACCTGAAGGCGCTCAGGGGTTAGTTCTGGCTCTGCACTCAAGAATCACTCCTGGTGATGTTCAGGGGACCATATGGGATGCTGGGGATCGAACCTGGGTCAGCTGCAGGCAAGGCAAGCACCCACTGTACTATCACTCTGGCCTCTTTTTTAATTTGGGGGCCACATCCAGCAATGTTCAGGGACTACTTCTGGCTCTGCACTCAGGAATCACTCCTGGTGGTGCTAGGAGGATATATATATATATATGAGAGAGAAAGAGAGAGAATGCTGACGATCTATCCTGGGTCAGCCACATACAAGTCAAACAAACACCTTACCTGCTGTATTATCTTTCTCACCCCCTTAGATAAGTTTTCAATCATAAATTATCAATTCATAAATAAAATTTAAATCCTTGGTTTGTTCCTGGAGCTCAACACTAAAAACAAACATCAAAATATACAAAATAAATAAAATTTCAATTCTTTGTTCTGGCACTCAGTCCCTCATGCCTCTACCTCTTTGGTGTGCCTTACCTTACTTACTCAGTTAGCTTACTTACAAATGAGTTCGACTTGAGGACAGCTGAGAATACAATGCTGGTGACAGAACAGAACAAGCCGGGGATTTATCAGAAGCAGAATCCATTCTTGGTATAGACAACTAAAAGCTGGAGTTCATATAAAATGTATTTGGGGGAGGTGGTTGTTTTGGGCCACTCCTAGCAGTGCTCAGGGCTTACTTCTGGATCTGTGCTCAGGGATTAGTCCTGGTGGGACTAGGGGACCATATGTGGTACTGGGGATCAAACCCAGGTAAGTACCCTAACTATTATCCTATCACCTCAGTACTTATAATTATTTTTATCTGACTTTATAAACTTTTATTTACCTGACTATGAAAGATTACCTGATCTGGAGTCACAAAACTATCATAATTGAGTTTGACCAACAAAGAATTCAATGGGTGAAGCAATCTCACGGTGTCTTAATGATAAAGATAATTAAGGCATTCTTACATTAAGAACCCTGCTGATGAAGAAATATGGATTCCTCCATCCAAACTCTAGGAATCCTACATACTTGGCAATAAACACGTGGACTGAGCCAACATCTAATATTCTTAGAGAATTAGAAACACACATGGCTTTAATTAGAAATATCTAAAAGTCTACAGAACATGGGAACCAAAGAGATAGTACAGAGAGTGCATTTTCCTTGCATGTAGCCACCTGGGGTTCGAACCCCAGCACCCCATATGATTGTGCATTCAGGAGTGATTACACCATCAGGAGTGATCTCTAAGTACCACCGGGTATGGCCCAAACAAGCCAAAACCCACAAAAGTCGAGGACGTATTTGCAGAGCAATGAAGATGTCAGTGGTATATTTAATACGTGTTTACAGCACCTGTATGAAAGGCACAGTAGGGGTGGAGGTGGCGTGTATAAGATCCATCAGTACAGTAAATGGTAGAGGATTCGTTGGAGGTAAAATGAACGGTCAACGCTGCAGTACCCACAACACAGCCATCTGATAGCTTGCTCAGAGATGTTACAATGTGCTGGCTGAGTGGATCAGCCAGTCTCGAAGCCCTTGGAAGTCCCATGGGTAAAACAAACGGTTTCAGGTCCTACCCTTCCAGGCAGCTCCCCACAGCCTCCTATCAACAAGTTGTTTTCCAATAACATTCTAGAAGGAGATCATTCAGCTCATCCAGATGTATTGTGTAACAAAAACCTGACGGTGAAGAGTAGTAAATTAGAACCCAGACATGATTTCTGCATCAGCAAGGGCTCCAGGCGGGCTTCTGTTACAGGACAAATGAGTGCCAACTCTTGACAGGTAAGATACGAGTCACGGAGAAAGAAATTTTTTTCCAATGTGACTTCTCTGATGTTGGACAAGGTATGAAGTTCGGGTGAAGCCCTTTCCACAGGCATCACACTGATAGGGCTTCTCACCCGTGTGGATTTTCTGGTGTTCCAGAAGGCTACTGTTCTGCCTGAAGCTTCTCTCACAGAAACTACACTTGTAGGTCATGGGAGCCTCGAAGTTTTCCCACTGGCTTTCCCTCCTCCACTGTCTCTGCCCGGTCTCTCCAGGTTTAGGATTCTGGGCATTTTTATCCCCATGGATCCTCTGGTGCCTGAGGAGATGGGAATTCCGCCGGAAGGCTTTCCCACACAAGGTGCAGCGATATGGCTTCTCCCCAGTGTGGATTTTGTGATGTTCAAGGAGGCTGCAGCTCTGGCTGAAAGTCTTCCCACAGTTCTCACATTCATAGGGCCTCTCGCCAGTGTGAGTTCTCTGGTGTTTGATAAGATTTGAACTGTGACTGAAGACCTTGCCGCACTCTTCACATTCATACGGTTTCTCCCCTGTATGGACTCGCTGGTGGATGACAAGGGCCGAGCTGCCAATGAAAGTCTTGCCACAGTCCTCACATTCATAGGGTTTTTCCCCTGAATGGATTCGTTTATGCTTAGTTAGGCCTGAACTCTGAGCAAAACTCTTTCCACACTCGTGACAATAATACCTTCTACTCTCTGTGGCGTTTCTCTGCTTTCTTTGTAACCCACTCTCTAGCTCCCCAACCTCTAAGCAGGGAGAAATCTGGACAGTGCCAACACCCAGACAGCCTGCTGTCTGCACATTCTCCAGTTCTGGAAGTTCCTCATCCAGGGGCATGTCCCTGATCTCAGTCAGCATTACTCCACCTGCAACACAAATGGTTGACAACTGTCACTCACACCCTGCCACAGGAGAGCACCGCAGTGTCCACCAGGGAAGCAAGAATCACAGACGTGTGCCAGCAGAGCAATAGAACAGCGTAAGGGCATTCGCCATGTATGTAGACGGCCCAAGTTAGATCCTCAAAACCCACGATGGTCCTCCTGAGCCTGGCAGGAGTGATCCCTCGACACAGAGCCATAAGTAAGCCCTGAGTATTGCCAGATGTGGCCTAAAACCACACACACACACACACACACACAATCAATCAGAGGCCTCTTGACCACATCTGTGAGGGTACGGGTGCAAGACTGAGATGGGAAAGAAGACATACAGATGGCTAACAAGCATATGAAAAAGTGCTCATCATCACTCATGATTAGGAAAATGCAAGAAAAGAACAATGAGATATCACTGCATGCCAGTGAGAATAGCACACATCAAAAAGTCTGATAATTGGTGGGGGTTGTGGTGAGAAAGAAACCCTCATCCACTTGTTGATGGCACTGTCATCTAGTCCAGCCTCTGGACAGCAATACGGAGATCCACCCCCAAAACAAGACTAGAACTCCCATATGACCCAGTGATACTAGTTCTTTGCATCTATCCGCGAAACACAAAAACATTAATTGAATAAAGGATATATCACTATCACTGTCACCCGGTTGTTTATCGATTTACTCAAGTGGGCGCCAGTATTGTCCCTATTCGTCCCAGCCCTGAGATTTTAGCAGCCTCTCCTTACTTGTCTTTCCCAACGATTGGAGGTTCTTTCAGGGTCAGGGGAATGAGACCTGTTATAGTTATTGGTTTCGGCATATCGAGTACTCCATGGGGAGCTTGCCAGGATATATGCTAACCTATAATTCATTGCAGTGTCCAGAGTACAATAAGAGTTCAATAAGTACAATAGCCAAGATACGGAAACCATTCAGTTGCAGATGAATGGATCAAGAAGTTGTAGTGGTGGTGGGCCGGAGTGACAGTATGGCAGGGAGGGCATATGTGCTGCATGCAGCTGACCTGGCTTAGACCCCCAGCATCCCGTGTGGCCTCCTGAGCACCACCAGGAGTAATTCCTGAGCATTGCCAGTGTGACACAAAAAGAAAAAAAATTTTTAAAGAAGTTGTGGTGAATGTATATACACAACGCAATACTATGCAATTTTAAGAAAGAACCAAAATCATGCAATTTGCTGTGACATGGATGGAACCAGAGGATATTAGGCTGAGTGAAGTCAGCGAGAAAGGAATAGATACAGAATGATCTCTCTCTCTCTTTGTGGGCCTTAAGATGCCTGAATTTGACTGAGCTGAGTTCAATTCCTGTGAGCCCATTTGATAGCCCAAGTCCTGTCAGAGCCAGAAGCACCTCTGGGTGTAGCCCCCAAACTAAAAACAGATCATCAGGGCCAAAGGCAACACAACAGGAAAACAGATCCATCCAATTAAGTTGGTGAGAGGGGGGTATGGGAGGCGTTGAAAGGGATGTTGTTGGGATCCTAGAGGGAGGGAGGTGGGTATGCTGGTAATGGCTGTGGTGTTGCAAACTGTGACTGAGAAACCACCAGTAACACTACTGTAAATCACAGAACCTCAATTTTTAAAAAATGGAAAAGAATGAGGTTGGGAATAGAGGGATTTCAGGGGTGCTGGGGAAGGGGACATGAGAAATGGAACGGAGCTATAAGCAGAATGGTTCAAACTGGGAGTAGAGGAAGTGGCGGGAAGGAGGTGAGGACTGAGGACCGTGCTGGGGAGATGTGGAGAGACTCTGGGCTCTAGAACTAGGGCAGGCAGGCATCCGGGGCTCCACCAAAAGGGGGGCAGGAGGTGACAGTGTTCAGGGTATACAGGGTCTGAGAGTAGACTTCTGGAATATTCTGTAAGAAACAGGGAAGGTAGAACTCAGAAGAGGATCCCTCCAGTGACAGGGGCGGTCTCTCTTCTCTGGCCTTGCCCCCGGGAGATGGGGTCCCCAAACAGCTCTGGCCTTAACACTGGGAGATGGGTTGGGACCCCAGGGCGAGCAACAGACCGCCGGGCAATCCTGTGTCCCTGCACCCTCTAGGGTCAGGCCCTGTTGTCCTCCCCAGGTCCCAGTTAGCTCTCACGCTCTTTTTCAATTCCCGGAAAAGACCCCTCAGCTTTGCTCCTGTCAGGCTGGCCTCAGGTGGGGAATCTGCATTTATTGAGACTGACCAGGAGCCAGACCTTCCCGGGGGCTGCACCTGTGTCAACCCACGGAGCCGCACCAGAAGCAGGACACGTGCAAAAGCTAGTCAGAGGGTTAAGAAGTGGTTAGCCACTGGGCATAGACAAGGAATTCTGTTAACCTCTCTACAACAACAACTTTCCCCTCGCGGGTCAGGGATCAAACCCAGGCCTGCTCTCCAGCACAGGGCCTCAATTCCAGCCCCTAGGACAATGACTGAACCTGACCTCTAAAGGCCCAGGAGATTCTTAAACACAAAGGAAGCCAAGAACCTTCTGGAAAAGCAGCGGCCTTACCTGGGGAGATGAGACTGCTGTGCTTCTGCCTCTCCTCTCGGGCGTTCACCAGAGACAGCTCCTGCTGCCTCCATCCAGGGGAGAGGGTTCGAGCCACGGCTTCCGCTTTCAGCCCCTGAAATGACAGTGACCCCACCTAGACCCTCATGCCCCAAATGACCGCCAAATATAGGGGCAAAGAATGGGCAGTGAAGGGCTTGGAAGTGTTAAACAGGGATGTGGGACACTTTGACCCACTCACCCCTATGCTAATTCTGTCCACAAAAGTGCCATTATGAGAAATCTGAATCACACTATAACGTGTGCCTTCCATGCAGTAAAAGAAGATAAAGAGACGCATATAACGAGGCTGAGAGGCCAGAGCAACGGTACAGTGGGTAGGGTGCTTGCCTTGCATGTGGACCTAAGTTTGATTTCTGGTACCCCAAGAACTGCCAGGAGTGATCCCTGAATGCGGAGCAGGAGTAAGCTCTGAACACCACTGGGTGTGGCCAAACCAAGAAAATCACAAATCATCCTGTTATTCGTCGATTGCCTCGAGCAGGCCCCAGTAACGTCTCGTTCATCCTAGCCCTGAGATTATATTCAAGGCTCTTTAGGAGAATTAGACCCATCATTGTTACTGGTATTTGGCATATTGGGTACGCCACGGGGAGTTTGCCAGACTCTGCTATGTGGGCAAGCTACATTCGGTAGCCTGCCAGTTTGTCCAAAGTAGGAATGAGATAATAAGATGTCATAATAAGATGTCGGTTCCGGGAGCTGGTTTTTATAGTCTCTGAGTCTTGGCCGCTGATGGGATTACACGGCGCCAGGGGGCCAATTGGTGGGTGTGACCCCCGCCTACTGGAATTTGGTGGATCTTTTCAATCAAGAAAAGTTGAAATGAAAATTGCAGAATCACAGTAAATGTGTTCAGTTAGTTGTGAGCTTGATCAAAGCTGGAGGTGTGGGCAGGAACTAATTTATATTAATAAATAAAAATAATTTTTTTTGCCCTTTTGGGGCTGGAGCGATAGCACAGCGGGTAGGGAGTCTGCCTTGCACGCAGCCAACATGGCCGACCCGAGTTCGATTCCTCCGCCCCTCTCGGAGAGCCCGGCAAGCTACCGAGAGTATTCGATATGCCAGACACAGTAACAACAAAGTCTCCAATGGAGACGTTACTGGGCCCGCTCGAGCAAATCGACGATCAACGGGAGGGCCTTTACTTACTTACTTACTTACTTTGCCCTTTTGGGCCACACTTGTTGGTGCTTGGGGGATCATATCAGATGCTGGGAATTGAACCTCAGTCAGTCTCGTGCAAGGCAAGTACCCTACCTGCTGTGCTATAGGTCCGGTTCCCCCCATATTAAAGGGTAAAGGTAAAGGGTAAAGGCCCTCCCGTTGTTCGTCGATTTGCTCGAGCAGGCCCAGTAACATCTCCATTGGAAACTTCATTGTTACTGTGTCTGGCATATCAAATACGTCACGGGGGGTTTGCCAGGCTCTGCCGTGCGGGCGAGATACTCTCGGTAGCTTGCCGGGCTCTCCAAGAGGGGCAGAGGAATCGAACTCGGGTCGGCCATGTTGGCTGCGTGCAAGGCAAACGCCCTACCGCTGTGCTACCCCCCATATTAATAACTTAAATATAAAGAAATCTAGGTTGGAGGTGAGCAAAACCGAGGGGAAATAGATGCTACAGATTTAAACATTGAGAAATGCAGCAAGGCATGAAAGACAAGAAATTAAAATCTAGAGGTTGGAGTGATAGTACAGCAAGGAGGGCATTTCCCTTGCACAAGGCCAACCTGGGTTTGATTCCCAGCATCCCATACGGCCCCCTGAGCACCGCGAGGAGTGATTCCTGAGTGCAGAGTCTGGAGTAACCCCTAAGCATTGCCGGGAGTGGCCCAAAAAGGAAAAAAAAGAAATTAAAATCTGGTGTGAGAGAGATATTACAGCAGTTAGCACCAGCTCCAGGTCAGACCCCTGGCAACACATGCCCCGTCCCCCCACCCCTAGCTGGGTATTTGGCCTCCCAAATAAGCAGCACCACATCCTCTGGACCTAACATTCAACTGCCAGCCTAAGAGACTGAGATTCACCGGGTCTGGTCCCCGCGACCTCCTGAATGGGGCTTGGGAGCAACACCCCCACTCCCCAAGTAAAATCCAGGTGATAGAACTATTGTTCAGATTGGAACCCTAAACTTAACCCTAGGGCTGGAGTGACTGTACAGCAGGGAGGGTGCGTGCCCTTTATGCAGCTGACCTGGGTTTGATCCCTGACAACTCGTATGACTCTCCCTCTGAGCCCAGCCAGGAGTGATTCCTGAGTGGAGAGCCAGGAGCAAGCCCAGAGCACTGCCAGGTATGGCCCCCAAACCAAAACAGAACCAAAAAAATTAAATTAAAAATTTAAAAAGCTGGGACTGGAGAGATAGCACAGCGGGTAGGGCATTTGCCTTGCACACGGCCAATCCAGGTTCGATTCCCAGCATCCCATATGGTCCCCTGAGCACTGCCAGGAGTGACTCCTGAGTGCAAAGCCACGAGTAACTCCTGTGCATCGCCAGGTTGACCCAAAAATAAAAAATAATAAAAAAAAACCCTTAAAACTATTGTATAAGGCCCCATCTCATCTGTCTCTTCTGTTTTAAGGTCCCCAAGGACAGAGCGAATCACAGGACTTTATGATACTTAGGAAAACAAAACACAATAACCATGACAGCCAATTCTTCCATTTGTAGGATGGAGCTGACCAGATGGTGGGAAACATGTGGGGAGCACACACAGATGTCCAGGAGGAGGGAAATAGGACAGTTCTGAGCGAGAACCAAAAGTAGGCCAGCAAGGAGAAATCACCTCGGGACAGACCAAAAACTCTGAAGCCCACCTGGATCAAGGATGAGGGTGGTGGAGGATTGGGGGGAGAGATTTTCGGGATAGTCCCCGTAGTGAGGAGCTCCAGCTCACCTGGGACTCCGGGCCGGGCCTGGCAGCGACCTCCATATCTCTGCGTCCTTCTGGGGCAAGTCCAGGAGTCTGGAGGCCTGAGGAGACAAATGCTTTGGATGAGACCGTCCCGGCATTTGACGTGCCCTGCAGAATCCAAGCTCAAAAACTAGATGCCTCAGTAAGCAAAAACACAAACTCAGAAAGCTGGACTAGCAGCAAACAGCTTAGTAAACCCTTAGACACGGACTTAACTACCCCATGATGACATATAACAATTTTTGCATTAAAATATTTCATGTTTTGAATTCAACGATTTTAATATTGAAGTTTTTGTTATCTAATCAATTTCAACTCTAGAAACGGTATCAACAGTTGCGTTAAAATTAAAAAAAAAAAACTAAGAGTCAGGGTGATGGTTTGATAGGCTGGAGCAACGCTTTGCATAGGGAAGGCCTGGATTCGCAGCTGGAAACAGCATGGCAGTGCCCCACACCTCACACCCACCCAGGAGAAAAAAAATAGTCTCATAAATGTACATAATGTGTAGAGTGTTCCTTTCTCAAAAAAAAAAAATGCCAAATTGCAACCAGCTCTAAAATTCCAGGGTCTGAGGAGAGGTGGAGTAAACCACACAAAAAGACAGAATCCTCTGTCGAAATCTAGTCAAGAAAGTCACACAGGGACCGGGGCGATAGTACACGGGGTTAAGGAGCTGACTCGGGTTCCATTCCTAGCACCCCATGTGGTCTCCCCTGAAGCCTGCCAGGAGAGATCCCTGAGCGCAGATCCAGGAGTGAGCCTGAGCCCCAAATACAAATATTTTGTATTTGGGTGTGGCCCAAATACAAAATAAATAAAATATGCCTTTCAGTCTCAGCCTTAAAGTAAATCAGAGCATTTGATTAATATAAAGGACATTTCCACAGAGCTGGCTATTAGGCGACCTTTCTGTAAAACGAATGAAGGCTACTCACGAAAGGAAAACCTCACCTCTGTCTGGTAGAAGCAGGGTCTCCATACGTTCATGCTTGGGCAGGGCCTTCACTGGCTGCAGCTGGCTACTTCGTGACCTCTGAGCTGGTTTCCACATGGCCATCTTGCAACAGAGTAGTTCTTGGTCCTGGTCACTAACTGGGACCTACAAACCATTTATTCAGCATTTCTATCAGGAACCGGAGCAGTAGTACCATGGGTAGGGCATCTGACCCAGATTTGATCAATGGCACCACATATGGGCACCATATATGGTCCCATGAGCCCTGCCAGGAATAAATCCTGAGCACCAAGGGGTGTATTAGGTAGATAATGCTAGTTATCCACCACTACTTGCAAACTGTATAACCAGTTATGAGGTTTAGCCCCAGACTTGAACTCTTCCGTGCAGTGTGCTCAAGGCTTACTTCTGACTCTGCACTCATGGCTCACTCCTGGGTCCTGGTGGTGCTCAGGGGACCATATGGGGTGCTGAGGATTGAATATCCAGTCATCCATGTGCAAGGCAAGCACCCTGACTGCTATGCTATCTCTCTACCTCCCCCAGCCCCCATGATTTTAGTAACAGGTGTAAGGTTCAAAGATGAACACTCTTGAGGCTGGAGAGATAGCACAGCGGGCAGGGCGGTTGCCTTGCACGCGTCCAACCCGGGTTTGAGTCCCAGCATCCCATATGGTCCCCTGAGCACAGCCAGGAGTAATTCCTGAGTGAAGAGCCAGGAGGAACACCTGTGCATCGCCAGGTGTGACCCAAAAAGAAAAAAAGAAAAGATGAACGTTTTTTACTGTGTAGCGTCCTACACTCCGGCTATCCTGATCCTTCTCGGCACTTCCTGCAGTCTGAAACCGTGTGATTAATGTGCTGATCTGCCTCTCCCCAGAAGAAGGTTAAGCTCCATGTGGCAATGACTCCCTTACACCCAAATTTTAGTAAACGTTTGATTTATTATGTTCAGGCTTGGCAGAGCTTTCCCCAGTGGCCTGAAACTTGCCCTGAAGAAAGTCTGAGAGCCGTAGGCGGATTGCTCGCCTTGCATCCCACCGACTGGCTCAAACCCCCAGCACCACAGAGCAGCCCCCGACCACGCACCGTGGGTCCCTCCGAGCACTGCAGATGTGGTGGAACATGCAGATGTTTCCACATCACATTACAACCAGGAAGGCTTCGTTCAAGCTACTCATCACCACCTGCAAACTAAAACCGGTTCCTGGGTCTGGACCATCATTGAAGCAGCCCGGTTCACAAACTGGCTGCGCGCTCTGTTAACTCTTTCAGTAGCGCCGAGTTCCTTCAGACCCTTGAGCATTTGCTTCCTGCGAGTCAAAAGACGCTTTGTGATGAGGACGGGCCCAGGGACCTCGCCTCACCGCCCAGGACGTCCTGGGGACAGCAGGAGCCCGCGGGCGAGCGCGCCCGCCCCGAGCCTCCCCCGAGCCTCCCCCGGCCCTGGGCACCTGCGGCCTCCGCGCGTCCAGCGGCCGCTCCCAGGCCTCCAGCAGCCGCACCGCGTCCTCGCCGCTGGCCGGCTGCCGCGCGCGCACCCGGGCCTGCAGCTGGGCGGGCAGGATGCTGAGGAACTGCTCCAGCACCAGCAGCTCCAGCATCTGCTCCTTGCTGTGCACGTCGGGCCGCAGCCAGCGCCGGCAGAGCTCGCGGAGCCGCCCCAGCGCCTGGCGGGGGCCCCGGGCGTCGGGGTAGCGGAAGGCTCGGAAGCGCCGGCGGGAGTGCTCGGGGCCGGGCACGGGGCCGGGCACGGGGCAGCAGCCGGGCGCCGCGGCCGCCTCCTCCAGGCCCGCGCTCCCCTCCGGCTCCCCCTTGACGCGCAGGATGCCCGTCGGATCGTCCGCGGATCGCGCGCCCAGCGCGGGGCCCTCCTGGGACTCTCTCGCCATCCCGGGCTGGGCCAAGGCCGTGCCCGGACCGAGCGCGCTAAGGCGAGGGGGGGGGCTCTGTTTCTGCAGAAAATTCTCGAAAGGTGGGAAATGCCTATCTGCCAGTCGAACGGAAAGGGGTCCCCCAAGGAGCAGCCGCGGGGGGTTTCTCGCGACAGCCCGTGCCCGTTGCAGGGGGTCCCTCGGCATCCCCGGGAGGCCCCGGTTTAGTCCCCCCTGGGTGCGCGCGTTCGTGCCCTCGCGGCCAGGCGGGCCCAGCCCGAGCCGCCACGGGAAGCCGCCGTGGGAATCCGAGCGACTTCCTTGGCTCTCTAGGAAGCGCCTCTCGGTGGTCGCCACGAGTTAACCCTTTAGCAACCTCGAGCCAGCCCTCCAGGTCCCGCCGTTCTGGGGAGGAGGATGAAAGGGGGTCCGGCCCCGGTGGAAGAAAGGGCCGAGAGTTCCCGTCCTGGACCGATGCTGCCGCGGCCTCGCAGCTCTGATGTCAGCGTCGCTAGCTGCAGGCTTCAATGTTGCAGGCAAGAAAATGGGTTTGGGGCCAAGGGGCTGATAGAGTTAAGTTGGGTGCACCTTTGGAACCTAAACCAGCTGGAAGGCGTTGGAGCCTTTGACACAGAAGAGCCAGCCCCGGATGGGGCTGGAGCGTTAGTCCCCACCCAGGTAGGGCGCTTGTCTTGGGGCAGTGGATCCTGGTTCCATCCTTGGCCTATGGTCAGCTCCCCTGAGCACCACCAGGAGTGATCCCTGAGCGCAGAGCCAGGAGTAAGCCCTGACGTGGTCCGGTGTGGCCCCAAACCAACACAAACCAACAAAAAAGACCATCTCAGGATCCCTGAAAATCACTGAGAATGGAATGCTAGGACAAATGTCTGGGGACAGGCGCCCCGTGAATAGGTCCTACCTCGAGGACAAGAAAGGAGACTTGACTTGATCACTTGACTTCCCGTTAATCATTGATTTGCTTGAGCGGGCACCAGTAACGTCTCCATCTGTCCCTGTGGCGTGCTAGTGTAGCCCAATGGTGTCTGTTCGTTCTAGGAACACGAAGAGCCTCAAACCGATCGTTCATGATCTTGATGAAGAAGTCTGACCATCTGGTAGGTGGGCGGCCACACGGTCTTTTGATGTCCCATGGAATCCAGTTGGTAACAGCTCTTCAATGGTTGTCTCTAAATCTCATTACGTGACCAGCCCATCTGATTTTTGATGCCTTGGCAAATGAGACAGCTGGGTAGTGGAGGTAGTGGAGGAGACAGACCATATTATATCCCCCTTGCATTTATTTTTTAGCATTTCAAAAGTGAAGATAGAGGAGGATCCATTATGACAAAACTAGTTGGAAATGGTAACTCTGGACAAGAACTAAGTCTTGAAAGCAGGTACAAGGATGTATATATATACATAGTAACCTTTCAGCATCTGTATTGCAAACCATAATACCTAAAAATGAGAGAAAGAGAATGAGAAAAGAGAGGTGTCTGTCAGAGAGGCTGGCTGGGATGAGGGGTGGCTTGAAGGGGTCGGAGGGAAACTAGGGACACTAGTGCTGGGAAATTACATGGGTGGGGGGATGGGTGTTGGAACATAGTATGACTGAAACACAATCATGTACTATTTTCTAATGCTCTATCTCACAGTGATTCAATAAAGGTAAAGGTAAAGGTAAAGGCCCTCCTGTTGTTCATCGATTTGCTCGAGTGGGCCCAGTAACGTCTCCATTGGAGACTTTGTTGTTACTGTGCTTGGCATATCGAATACATCACAGGGAGCTTGCCAGGCTCTGCCGTGCGGGCGAGATACTCTCGGTAGCTTGCCGGGCTCTCTGAGAGGGGCGGAGGAATCGAACTCGGGTCGGCCATGTTGTCTGCGTGCAAGGCAAACGTCCTACCGCTGTGCTATCGCTCCATAAAAAAAATATTAAAAAATGGTTCACTCATAAGGGAAAAGAATATATTTCCCTAAAATTTAAGTGTTGTTATTAAGTGATACTGTAATTTTATTCATATGTATATGTTAAAATAATTAAAAAGAGAGAGTCAAACAAATTCATGTGTGGAAACAAATAAAAATAAGTGAATTATGGATGAACTGTAAAAAAAAAGAAAAAAAAGAGACAGAAATAAGAGAAAAAGCATGGGATCAGAGGGCTAACAGCTTGGACTAAGAGCCCTAGCTGTCCTCCACGAACAGTATTTATTGCTTAAAATCAATAATCATTAAAAGAGAAGAACAACATTCTTTGATCAGGCACCTAACAATTTTGATCTATTTGGGTTTGACTATGACATATTTCAGGACGTTTCTTGGGATAAATATAAATGTAAAGCACTTTCTTAAAGGGAAATTCATCCAGGAGGGGTGGACAGAGCGAGTGCAGGCAGGACCCCCCGAGGGGGGGGGTTGGCATTCCAGGGAAGCTTTTCCTATCTGGATTCCAGCATTCTGGATTCTGGCTTCTGACAGACAGGGCAGCAGCAGGAACACGAGAAAGGACCACCAGGTGACTAGTACATTACCCAGGAGCCCCCTTAACTGCTAGTTGTGTAAAGAATTTGGGACTGGGGCTTGCCACAGTACAGCAGGTATGGCTTTTTGCCTTGCCCACAGTCAATAGGGTCGAATTTTCTGATACCGCACATGGTCTGGAGCACTGCCAAGAGTAATCCTGAGTGCAGAGGCGTAATCCACAGCCCCAAATTTTAGGTAAAAAAACTTTTTAGAAAATCATTTGAAAGGGAATGACCTGCCACAGAGGCAGGATGGGATGCGGGGGATGAGGGGTGGGAGGGATACTGGGATCCGTGGTGGTGGAAAATGGGCACTGGTGGAGGGATGGGTACTTAACCATTGTATACTTGAAACCCAAGCACAAAAATTTGTAAGTCTACAACTGTACCTCTTGGTTTGTCACTAATAAAAATTTAAAAAAAATAATTTGAGACAAAAAAAAGAATTTGAGACAAATCATTACTTAATCTTCCCCCAAATGCTCTTTTTCCCCCTTTTATTTGGGAGGTTGAGGGGGTGTTAGGCATTCGAATGAATCAATGCTCTTGGCCAAGTTTGTGTTGACAAGGACACCGACGCCTCCAACACCTCTTTTATCGCATGTTCCGAGGAACAATTGTTCTCCAGTGTCGAAAACGGCATGGTGAATGAGACCTGTTGTAGTTACTGGTTTTGGCATATCGAATACACAACGGATAGCTTGCCAGGCTCTTCCGTGCGGGCGGAATACTCTCGGTAGCTTGCCAGTCTTTCCGAGAGGGATAGAGGCTTTTGGGGCGACCTCTAATCACCCTTGTAGGTGTTACCATATTTAAACCCTATCAAATACAGTACGACAATTCTGGAAGATGGGTAGTTAGTGTCTTATGATGTGTCGCTCAGCCGCTTTGCGGCCGCGCGGGTCCGGAAAGCGTCCTGGAGTGTGGCGACGGCTGGGTAGTGAAGTAGTGTCGATAGTGGAAGTCTGCCAGTGGGGTATTTATCTGGGTAGGGTGGGCGCAGTTCGATCCCTGGGTGCTTGATGGAAGCAGACAGGGCAGGGTAGGGTGGGGCTCCTGATTAGAATCCCTTTGTCACCTGTGGTGGTGGGAGCAAGCAGAGAAGCTCTGTCCCTGGGTCCGCCAAGCCTGGAGTCCAAGATCTCAGAGAGTTCCGCTTATCTTGTTCTGTGGGTCTTCAGAATCGGAGGTTTACATTTGAATAGATGTGGCTCACTGCCTGCAGTTTCTATCTTCGTTGTCTCCGCACCAACATCTCATTATGATGAAAGAGAAATCGAGAAGTTCTACATGGAGCTGGAGAAGTTCTATAAAGAAGACCACACCTTCTACAAGATCATTGTGGGTGATTTTAATGCCAAGATAGGACCGAGAAGATCAGCTGAAGAACTTCACATCGGGATCCATGGCCTAGAATGGAACGAACAGGGTGAGAGACTGTCTGAGTTCTTCATGTCAACCAAGACCATTCATGGTAACTCACAGTTCCAGAAGGCAGAATCTAAACGATGGACATGGGAGTCTCCCGGTGGACGATTCCACAACGAAATAGACCACATCATATTCAATCGACGGTTTTGCCTGACTGATGTTGCTGTTGTCCCAAAATTTCGAACGGGATTGGACCACCGTCTCCTTCGTGCAAAATTCTACTTCACAGAGCGGGGAGAAAGGGCTGCAAAGTTCAAAAAGAGAACTCCCAGAATGACCACCAACTGGGAACTATTTGGTACTATTGTGGCAACATGGGAAGATGCCATTGTTGACAACATTGACAAGGAATACGATCGACTGGTTCAGCACCTCCATGAATGTGCGAGGAACGCCAAGAGAGAGATAGCCACAAAAAATCGCCTATTTTCGAAAACTCTTGAGCTAATTCGCCAGCGTGGTTTGGCGCATGCCTCTGGCAACCGCAAGCTAACGTCCGAGCTCTCAAAGCAGTGCAGAGATGCGATCAAGGAAGACCTCAAAGAGAGAAGAGCAGAAGTACTGGTAGATGCGGCAGAAGCCGGGAAAAGTATTCGTAACGCCTGCCTGTCCTTCGCCAACTACAAGACCAAGATGACTGCCCTCCGACGTCCTGATGTATCTATCACATCCTCCAGAACGGCAATGGAGAAGATTATCCATGACTTCTACTCAAATCTCTTCGACAGCCATGTCCACTTGCCGACATACCAAATTCCACAGGATGGATATATCGTTCCCAATGTTCTCCCTTCCGAAATCCGACACGCCATTTCGTCGGTAAAGAAACAAACAGCACCCGGCCCAGACAAGGTCAGACCTGAACACCTGAAGAACCTGCCGTCAGTACTCATCAATACACTGGCTCGGCTCTTCACTCGCTACCTGTCTGAATGCAAGGTTCCGTCCCAATGGAAAACCAGCAGGACCGTACTACTGTTCAAGAAGGGAGACATCCATGACATTGGCAACTGTCGCCCGATCTGCTTATTGTCTGTCATCTACAAGTTGTTCACTCGAGTC